TCTCCTCTGCCAAGATGGCCACCTCCACACAGATACACAGTGGGGAGCAAGTCATTGGAATTCAGTAATGCAGAAAAGAAGCTGTAGGGAGACCACAGGGAATACGGGTGACTTGTAATTTGCCCTCTGCTTGTCTTTTAGTGACAACTCCCATAGTACATGTCCATTTGAACCCTGCTTCTATTTCCTCCTTTTATAGGAAAACTGGTGATTTTCAAAGCTTTTCCTGACATTTCTGATATCAGGACAGATGCAGAAGAATCAGTAAAAAACACATGGCACTTTGGAAAGCTTTGTTTTGGATAAAAAAACATATTGCTTACTTGTGTCCATACCAGTGCTGGGAGTTTCTTTTACAGTGCAAATTCCTATTTGCCATTATTTTTGAAACGGAGTAGAATGTAATTGTTTTTTCTGAATTAAAAGATTACAGAACAGATAAAAGCATGTAAAGGAACGAGAAATACGGCCTTATTTTATATCTAATGAAATGTGCTTGCCAATCATCCCATTCATTACTGTGGCTGGAACCATACTCATGTGGAGGTCTGGGGCTGCCATGAGTACAGTCCATAAGATTAAATGGATTAAGTAGCGTGGGTGCGCAGTAGGAGCTGGATACATCCAAGTCTTTTTTCATTTACAGGCTGTGCAGCTCTAGGCAGGGATCCATAGTAAAGATCTTCAGAGTGGGACTAAAAGGTAAGTATTTAGATATAAGGTTTCCACTGTTTGGTGTGGGGGAAAGAATAAAAGGAGAACTTAATTGAAAGTGAAGTTTTCCAGGAAGGCTTGGTACTTCTCCTTAGAGTTGTAACTTGTGGATATTCACCTTGGGAGGAGAGATTATAATACTTTCCCAACCACAGATCACAACCTATTTTAGCCAAGATACAGCCATTATTTTGTACCATGTCCCGTGTAAAGGTCATGTTGCACGGAACAACAGCATGCTGGTAAAATTCAATGACTGTAGAAGCCTGATTCAGACTTTTATGTGGCAGTCTCCGATGCTGCCCACACCTAGTGTCACCTCTACACCTCTCCTCTCCTACCCCCTGTTACTTTTCTACTTTGGGCACCAGCCCACAAGTCCTGTTTGATACATTTACCCCTAGAAGGACAGGCAATTGAAATCCATACCTGTATAGGCAGGTGTGCTACATTTATTTTCCAGAAACTGTAATGTGCCCAGCCCTTGATCTTACTATGGAGAACGATGCAGCATCACTTGAATATTGCCTAAGAACTGTATTGAAAGTACAACAGCTCTCATTTTGGGGGATGGGGTGAAATGCTTATTGAACAAGCCCCAGGGCTTACACTTATGTAGTCTTTTCCATTTAATTTCAGTTAAGTGGCACACTTAATCAATCCAAGTACTGGAAGAAGAATCCATTACAAAAAAATTAACATTATTCTGCAGTCAATAATGAAATATAAGCAATAATGGCTTTTAAATGCTTTATTTATAAATTAACTCTTTTTTCACTTGCAGGAGCTAAAATTCTGGTTACAAAATATACAAGAATACTGTCCAAGCAATCTCATTTCTCCTTGGTCTATTCAATAGATGGGTGGCCCCAGACAGAGTGAAGGACAGGTGGATAGCTGGACTCTTACTGGTTTTACCTCTGCTTATGGATTTTTATTATGGTATGATCAGTATGGTTAGTCTGGGTATGGAAGAAAGGCAAGTACATGTTGCCGGAGGGGGCTAAATTAAAGCTTACAGCGATCAAATTTTGTTTAAGTGGTTTAAAGAATAAGAACACTTTTAGACAAAGTGCACCTATTCTTTTTGCCCCCCTCCCCTGACCCCAAAGTTCCCACCTTCCACAGATCTATACTTACTGGGACCCAAGAGCCGCTGCTCTGCTGTTTGTTGAAATCCAGCACTGCAGGTTTCCCTCTCCTGACCACGTCCGTCTCCCAGCTCGGAGATGGCCTCATGGAAATCTATGGGGCTATAATGTGCAGGTGTGGCAAGCAGAAGGAGCATCCCAGCGCTGGATGTAAAAATAATGGAACAGTGCCTTGGATCTTGGTCAGTACGGATCTAAAGTGGGGGAGAAGGGTGGAAAATTTTAGGTCAGGGCGGGGGACAAAAAGGATATGTACACGTTGTTTTAAAATGCATTTATCCTTGAAACTATTTTGCAAGAAAATTAAATTAAAAACCTGTTGCTGTAACTTCTAAAACAGCATTAGCTGAAGTTGGGCTTTTATTGGCTTTATTGTTTGTTTCTTACTTAAAATCATTTTAAAACAGTATGTCCATCTAAGAGTACCCTCACTTCAGAGTGGCAATGTGCCCTGACCCTGACTGTCCATCTAAGAGTACCCTGACTGTAGAGTGGCAATGCTGCCGTGTGATTTCACTTCAGGACAAACAGTGTTGTCTCCCTGTTACGGGAAGTGGAAGAAAAACATATTTAGTGCCAAGATCAAGTAATAAAGCTATATTACAGGGGAACAGGAGAGGGCTTAGAAAACCAAAACATTTTGTGTTATTGCTAGTGACAAACGTATATCATATATACATAAACATCATATGTATATTTTTTTTATTTTGCTTATAATTACAGCCACTGCTGCATGTGATTGGGCTTTTTGCTGTTAAATACGTGTAATGAGAGCACAGCTGGAGCAAGTGGAGGTAATGAAATATAAAATGAGACAAGGGACAGAAGCACAAGTGGCAGCTTCATTTGCATGTATACTTTAGGTGGCCTGTGAGTTCCTGATATAGGTGGAGTGGTGTGCAAATATATGGAGCACCAATTACAAAGTGGGTCATCAGAGCTGTATGTCTGCTGGTGCTTGGTCCATATTATCATGCATTCTTACTGTTCATATTTTTTGGTAATTGTGTAAGGATGTTTTCTACTCCAGTAATTATAGCTTATCATCATAAGTCACTCAGGTTACTCCATACCAACAGCTTCAGGCTAAAGATCTCCTTTCTTCCCCCCTGAGTGCATATACAGGTGCATTGGAAGCCAGTACACTGTGTACCTTTGCTCCTTTCCAATTAATTTACTGACAGAATGTTTTATCGCCGCCTTGCAGTGTAAAACCCATCTTAAGTATCTGTCAGTGTATAATAATGAATGTTTTTTTCGATGAACTAACCTTCTCAATTGTTTTGTGCACAGCGGTCTGGAGGAATGATATTTCTCGAAGTACATTCTTCATGAGCACCTCCAGTGATGAATGCTGGCTCCTTCCTGAGTGCTAGTCATTCACATTCAAGGTTTTTTTAATTGTATTTTTTTTTCCTTCTGAAATATTAAACGACTAGCTGAGAGAAGACAAAAGAAGATGCTATTTTTTTTAAAGTATTGCAGATGATAGCAAAATACTTTATGTGTAAAGATGCAGTTTAATCTGCTTATTTTGCTCTCCATGGTTCCTTCGTTCCTCCCTTATCAATGTGCTAATGACATTTTAAATAAAACCTTTTCATTAAATACCTTATTTTAGAACCAGTGATGTTATCATTAGGTCTATAGTATCATCAGGTACTTGATTGTCCCTCTGTTGCACTAGCAAAGCTCCCTGCGTGCACCACCTGGCACTCCCAAATACCCTTCCACAATACACTGATTAGTGCTGTACAACCTATTTCCACACATGGATGCAATCTTATGTGCACAGGAAGGTGGTGTCTGCCGAAGGCTGGGCACACACCTTACAACCATCGCAAGACTTTTGTCTTGCGATGGTTGTAAGGTACTTAAAAAAACATACGATCTGCCTATCTTGCATAGGCAGATCGTACTTCCGATGACCGCAATGCCGAATGGGCAGTGTGTGCTTGCGGCTTTTATCTCACGAATATGCTACACACCCGCCGAACATCGTACGATGCTCGGCGGGCTTGCAAACATGTTCGTAAGTTTAAAATTGTGCGACCTTACAGTAGTAGAGGTCGCACGGCTTTCACACACCTTACGATAATCGTACGATCGCGGGATTTCCCGCGATTATCGTACGATTATCGTAAGGTGTGTGGGGACCTTAAGGCTGCCCATACACCTTGCGATCATCTGATGACACTTTTCGTCCAATGATTGAACCATCGTACGATTTTCGTACGGCGCCCCATCCTGCCCCGATTATCGCAAGGTTGGATCAGTGGTAATTAGAAGAAGGCACCTGGACAAATTGCGGTGATCAACCGCACGTATTTTCGTCTGCGCTTGTGCAGTGTAGACCATGCGAATTTTGACATCACCAACCTTGCGAAAATCGTCAGATCGACCGAAGTTTTCTATCCTACCGGTTAGTCAAAAGTCGATCAATTGTACAGTATTTGCAGTTGTACACTGCCCATCAACCTTACGAATATCGGACGAAAACGCGATCGCATACGAAAATCGGCGGATAGTCGTAAGGTGTATGGGCACCTTAAGTCTAAGGGTGGGCGCTTATGCAAATCCTGACTTTTCTTCGCATTGCCTATTATTGCAAGAAATTGCTAATGTATCTCTAGAACGATCTCCTGAAAGATTCAGTACAATACTTCATAATACGTTGCCACTTTTCTTTGAATCTGAGAATTACCATTTGTTAGCTTAGTAATCCATTCCCTTTCTTTCGAATATCATTGCAGGTCTGCATTGTTCAGAAAAAAGACACCGAGACAATGTACGCCATGAAGTACATGAATAAACAGCAGTGCATCGAGCGGGACGAAGTACGCAACGTGTTCCGGGAGTTGGAGATCCTGCAGGAAATTGAACATGTCTTTTTAGTTAATCTTTGGTTAGTCAGTTCCTTTTAACTTCTGACTTTGTTCTGTTAAAGCAGAATTATGAACTGCTTCTAGCTCACATCTTTTTCCAGGTAACTGGGAGATAGACAAGGACATTTGTTCTCACTCAGTTATGTATTTAAGCTCATAGTACACTTGGTCTGTCTATCTAGAAATAATTGCCTCGCTTTTACATCCTGGCTTTTAATTTGTGCAGCTGGCTATTAACCAAGTTCCTATGCATATCCTTATCCGTGTGTGCTGCCTCGCTCATTCACCTAGGTTGAGAAAGGCTGTCATAGAGCGCATAATGGATGCCTCAAATGCAATCACAAACATAGGGGACTATTTGAAAACAAATTGCATAGCTATTCATTCAGTGAAACTGCATGTACATTCATTCTGTGCTAATTAACCAGCTTGGAGAATGAAGCAAAATTGAATGTTCTTAGTGTAATTTTATCTTCTGGTTGAATGTTCTTCATATATTATGGCCAGTAATAAATTGGCAAAATACCATGTTATGGTCACTAGATGGAGATGAGGATCATAGGAAATCAATACATCTTAGTAACAAGAGATACAATGTAACAATTCCAAAGGGAATTAACAGATGAATGTAACCATAGCTACTAGAGGGAATGCATGCACATGCAGGTTCACTGAACAGATTTTTAATAAAAAGACCCTGAAATAGTGTTACATAATAGATTATATATCATGCTTTTTGTTATGGTTATAACAGCAAGAAGAGTGAGAATTTTCCTTCTGCAGCACCAATATGACTCTGTGGAATCAGGAGATGCAAGGAATCAGTCAACCAGAAAATATCCTTATTTTAATTTATGTGTTAGGTGGACGAACCCTTTAAATTTTAGTTTAACCTTTAAGACTCCTTTAAATCAATATGTTACTCATTTTTAGAAGCTTAATGTCATGGTATGAATCAATGTAGTATCAATATATTGATATGAGAATCTCATTACATATGTAGTGAGCGAAATATAGTTGCTGACTTTTATTACCTCTTTTCGAAAATACTAGTTCAATTGCTACTTGTGGCTTTAGTATTTTCCAGAAACCTGGAGCAGGCATACATCAAGGGGTTTATGTAGCACCTCTAGATGGGTATGACGAGTATGGGAATTCCATCGCCATCTAGGCGCACTAGTGTCTGCAGTCAGGCAAACAGCATTTTTAGATAAAGGTCACCGATGTCAGCCTTCATATTCTTCTCAGTACATCTACTTTCTGAAAATAAATGACTGCACATACCCATAGGCATGCACACAGGGTGTGCCAGGTGTGCCAAAGATCTCTCTGTGACCAGCTCAGTGATACAGAGCGCAGCAGCACTTGGCACTTACATTCCTCACATAACAGCCACAGTCTTCCATGAGAAAGCTGCAAAGGAGCATGGCTGTGGCTTCCCAGGCTCCCCATCCAACCAGGAAGCCTGCAGGTGGTCCAGGCTCCTGCAGGCTCCCTGCTTCCTTACTGCACTCCTGCTAGAAGAGGAAAGGGATAGTTGAAGCGATGGGAATCCGGGATGCTTCGGGTCTGTGTATTTGTACTTTTGTGCTTTCCCCCTAAATACAATAGGCTGTGCATGCCTATGCACATCCCTCCCTTCATCGATTGAACGCTACTGCAAAACGCACAGGCCAAGGCAAGCATGGCAAATAACACTGTGAATGATGTGGCTTATCACAGCCTTCCAGATAGAGCACTGCTGTTATGTACTTTTTAAATAAAGTTTTAGAATACAATTTTTAGATATAAAAGTAAATGAATCCCGTTCAAGCAAATGGCATGTCATTGATCGATAGCTTGTTTCCTTTTTTATGTTCCGACATTAAATTTTATTGCATGTTTTATGACGATGCTGTGAAGGTTTGTGAGTCTCTAAACCCACACAAAAAAATAACCTTGGAAATGGCGGCAGATGTGCACATTTATGTCTGTAAATAAAAGCTGCTTTATTGCTGCCTTGGATGGAGATGGGTGCAGTGTGTGCTGCCTCAGTTTTTTTTTCTAAGTGCTTAAAGAACAACTGAAGGAAATACTGTATGTGAAATCAATTTGTGACCAACTAATGTCCTCCATGGAAAGTCAGAAAGTCTGCTAAATTCATCTTGAGTTCTGCATTATCATTTGTAGCCATCAGGCTTTTTTTACATTTTTCCTGGGTGGCAGTGTTGCCTCATGTTACATAATAGCCCACAGTGTAATTTCTGCAACCTCCCTCTCCAGGAAACCAGGGAACACTTGTCTTGTATTTTTCTGGGTTTACATTCAGTGCAGTGGAAATCAAAGATAATTTGGAAACCAGAGAGGCAGACAGCTATAAAACTTGAGTGATGGGGATAGTTGCAGCATAGATGGTGAGCGATGTCCCTCCAGACAAAGAGCACTGACTTGACAATACATAAGTACAAAATGGCAATCCTGATAATACATGGGCAACAAACAAGCAGTCATTACAAAACGTGGACTGCAAACAGGCAGTTGTTACAATACATAGGCCAAAAATAGGCAATCGTTTCAATATGGGGGCAACAAATGGGCAATTATAACAATACATGAACAATGACAATGACAGTGCCATTAGTGCTGTGACGTCCAGTTCGGTCTGTTCTGGGTGAGACATTCCCCCTGCCTGCCCCAGCCCCATCCACAGAGCTCAAGCCTCTAACAGAAACTAGAGGCTGTTGCAGCTCTGGCCTCACTATGTTAGGTTACACAAGCAGTGGGGAAGCCCGCTGCTGCGTAACCTAACTTAGCTGTCAAAAGCCGGATGCGGTGCCACCTGTAATTAGCAGGCAGCGATCCGTCCATGACAGGTTACACAGCGGGCAGGCTTTCCCTGCTGCGCAATCTGTTACATGCCACTCTGAATGGAGACAAAGTTGTCAGCTTCAGACTTGAAGCTGACAGCTTTTTCCTCTACAATACTCGGTGAGGCTCTGCGTCACCTGCCTCCCCATACCACACGTCCCTGCATAAGTGACAATACCTGGAAACAAATCTGTCTCCCTCGACTCTACCTTCCCTTTACATCAGGTTTCTAGGAAGCATCATATATGACTATCCTGACTGTAGCTTTCGTAGTGTTATAATGGTACGCTGCTGTTTGAGGATAGGGGTTTGGAGAGCAGGAATGTCAGGAAGAGTTCATACAGAGGTACAGTTAAGATTCTGTCTTTTGGGTAAAGCCACTGTATTGCATAGATGATGTAGACAAAATCAATTAATGAAAAGAAGATAGTTGACATGAAACAGCTTTATTTTATTTTTGCTGGAATGCCCCTTTATTGTGCTTAGCATACAGCAGGTAGGCAAACTTCAACCCTCCAGCTGTTGTGGAACTGCAAGTTCCATGAGGCAGTGCAAGACTCCGACAGCCACAGGCATGGCTCTCAGGGGCAGATGCATGACTGCATTTGTAGATTCACCACAGCTGGAGGACCGAAGTATGTTTGCCCCTAGAAGAAAGTAATATTTACAATGATTCATTGTTCTCATAATCTCTTATGCAGTTTACTGGAAGACTCAAACATTTTCTCCTAACAAAAGCAGTCAATCAGGTGTTCCACCAATAACAACAAAAAGTCACTATTACTGTTTTCCTGTCTTCCAGGTATTCCTTCCAGGATGAAGAGGACATGTTTATGGTTGTAGACTTACTCTTGGGTGGAGATCTTCGATATCATCTACAGCAAAATGTCCAGTTTACAGAGGAGACAGCTAAGCTGTACATATGTGAAATGGCTCTAGCTTTAGACTACTTAAGAAGTCAACATATAATTCATCGGTAATGTCAGATGAGTATTCTGGGATTTAATAATATAACGCCAAGAGCAATACTTGACAGGGATCAACATCGCCTTATCAGAAATCAGCTTTCAACTTCCTGGGGTGGTCAGCATAATTAAAACTGATTTCTGATGGGGTGATGTGGTTTTATGGCTTACCTTCACTCTTTGCACAATATTACTAAACAAGAACCAAAATACTAATATATGCTGTACCATAGCAGACAGAGTTACAGTCTGGCTTTATTCTGGACATACTGCATCATCTTGCTTTCCCATAGGCCTCAGGTCTGGAGCCCATGGGAACGTCTTGTGTGACTGTATTCCATTTTCTCTAAAGTGCCTTGCAGTGTGAATGGAACTATATGTAGGAACGCTTTCCTCTTTGGAAAAGAACCCTAGAACTCAGAGCAGATGGAACATAAATGCATAGAAATACATATCCTTATTTCTATATTAAGGGCTGCATCAATGTATAGGTAATGCTGCACAATATTCAGTTTGAGTATCAGGAGGTGGGCCCACCAATGACCAGGTTGGTTGGATTTTTCCATTCAGCCAGTTGACGTCTTTGGAGATGAATAACCTGGAGATCATGGTTACTGTCTCTTACATTGTAAAAGGGAGGTCCATAGACAGAATATTGGATGTGCATGTCTGTTGTATGGAAAGTCATTTGAGGGGCTGATTATTTAGTTATTAATTTAACTTACCAAACTCGTTCTTTGGTAAGTCTTAAAACCTGAATAAAGAAAACGCTTAAGCAGCAGACAGTGATCTTGATCTACATAGTTTACAATGAACTGGGGATTAGGGTTGCCACCTTTTTTTCAAGCGAAATCCGAACACTCTAGCGACACACCCACAATTTTTTGGGAGAATGATGCATGGCTTATTTATATGTAAATAGCGCCACCCATTCATATGTAAATATCACAGTTGAGACTATTTTCAGTGGGGGGCCAGGAGCCCCTATCTTAATTTTGTTTGCCCCTGTCTGCCTGACATATTGTGACCGGGTGTCTGCTGCCATGAAACCCGGACACAGCATTCAAAACCCGGACTGTCCGGGTGAATCCTGGACAGGTGGTAACCCTAGTAGGGATGTGAATATTAGGGATATAGTAAAAGCCTCAATATGTCAAATGTTAAAACCTAACTTTCAATGTGTTACAGAGATGTAAAGCCAGACAACATCCTCCTTGATGAACAAGGTGAGCAAAGGAAGCCACGTGCCTTGCTTTACACACTGTCTAGTGACACTTGAAGGTGTCTTGTTATTGTGTGAATTAACAGTGTTTGTGTTAATGATGTGGTTTTCATGTGCCTCACTAAAATATATAAGTGATTCACAAAGAACAACAAAGCAAATCTCTCAATAGTTGCACATCACATAAAAGGCCATATCAGGCCACCTGTTCCAGCCATCTAGATCAGTGGTCTCCAAGCTGTGGGCCCACGGGCTGGATATGACCCTTTGCTGGCATTTAACTGGTCCTGGGTGGCCTATTCCTTTTAAAGACACCAACAGTTGGACACAATTCCTCCCAATGACACCAACAATTGGGCACTATTTTTCCCACTGACACCAACAATTGTGCACTATTTTTCCCACTGACACCAATGATGGGGCACAATTTCTCCCTCTGACACAAATAGTAGGACAGCATTCCTCCCACTACCAACAACAATGTGGCATCATTTCTGCTACTAACCCCAGCAATGGGGCACAGTTTCTCCTTCAGACATGATTGATAGGGCACTATTCCTCGCACTGATACCAACAATGGGCCACTATTGTTCCTCATACTGATCACCGGCACTAGGTGTTTTTTGTTTTTTTGCTCCCTCTGAACATTGAGGCTGGGCCTGGGACCCCTGATCTAGCTATTGAGAAATTGAACCTTATTTATCAGTGTGCCTGAAAGAAGACCAGACACTGATATACCGTACGTAGCTAGGCATGCCATAAGACAGCTGTAGGTAGATGCCTGGGGCAGCAAGATTAAAACAAATAGCTGACTGCCTTCAGGCAAGTAATATAACATGAATAATAAAATGTATAACTGAACTCCAGGAAGACGACTAAATACACCACCATTGAAATAGATACAATGTATGGAAGCTGTTTTTTCCCTACCCCAATGTCCCCAATGTATGGGAGCCTGGTCAATTCCCTGCCCCTAGCTTGTGATTACACAGGGAAGAAAAAGCAGCAGCACGTGGTGAGTCATTTATCTGCCCAATCTGCTCTCTCCTTCTTTCAGAATGTTCATTGCAAGCTCACTATTCCTCCCTCTTGCAGTCTGAAAGCTGTTGTGCATGGGATTACAAGAGACTGATACTTAATCAAATTCCTGGCTTACACTAGCAACAATTATAAATACATTACATAGTTTTAATCAATTGCCTAACGCATAACTGCATTCATTGGTGTTTTTTTTTATATCTGCATGGAGTTCTGCTTTGAACTTGTGCTTAGGTCAACCTTATTACTAAATACCACTCTGCCAATAGCAGTTAATCTGACTCCTTTTCAGCAAAATTATGATTGGACATAAATTGGTGCTGCAGGGAGCATGGCCAGTTTTCTTTCCTCTATCTTTTATGCATAAATACTGTCAGTAATGTTATGTCCTTGTTCTGAATTACACAGCTACTTGAACATCTTCACTCCTCATTTCTTTTGCCTCACCATTATTCTAAATTGCAGCTGCATAATTTTCACAGTCTGCTATTTCAGCTTGTACTTTGTCATCCCTTTGGCATTTTAAGTCCATTGCCCTCCAAATAATGTTGTGGGGTTCTGAATAGCTAGAGGCATGATAATATTATAAGAGTGTACCTCATTCCTTGTCTAAGAACTTGTTCTATCCTATTCCTCAGGCCATGCTCATCTAACGGACTTCAATGTGGCGACCATAATCAAAGATGGTGAAAGAGCTACTGCATTAGCTGGAACCAAACCATACATGGGTAAGGAAATGCAGACAATGTACTTTTGATGATCAGATCTGTCCAGAGCAGGGATTCTGCTCTGAACCATTTCTGGGTGGGCAGTCCTGTATAGACGAGCGGCTATAGGAATGCGGGCTCATATTAATGGAATTCCGCATTATGAGGCAGTTAAACAAATCTGTAGCTACTTTCTAAATACATTACATGCTATGCAAGACTTTTTAAGCACTTTTCGTGAAACCCTTCAATGCTCGACATGAAGATTCCCTATGTATGCTATGGTGGAAGTTCACACTTGAGTTGCTGTTTATTGCAGCAAAGAACTCCAGGAGCTTTTTAAGGGCTTGATTGTGCATTTTTTTTATCCCATAGACCTCAATAGAAGTGCTTGAGAGCACACAATACAAGCATTTTACCGCATTTGTTGCACGTTTTATAACCTAACCACTAGTCCCTTTTTCCTGGTAACCCTAGAGCTTGTAGCAAGCATGATCCTTCTCACTGGATGTTAAAGAGTGTATAAGACTGGTGAGGTTAAGAACCATTCTATTTGACCCCATATGACTTGCAGCTGCTGCCATGAAGGATATCATAGTGGACATGTCTTAAGATAGCTCTGATAGCACAACAACAGATCATGGCACTGCACAGAAACACCAGGAAGCCAATAACAAGAGGATGAGGACTATTGATGTCATAGAAAAACTGCTTCACATGCGCTTAAGAGCACATAAAAAAAAGCATTGAATATGCTTCAAAGACGTATGTAAAACTCTAAAATAAATGCTCCAAATACACTTGAAGAAGCTCAAGCTCACCTAGGCTTGGGCTCTGTCGCTGACCTGAACCTGTTGAATCTTGATTGCTAGCATTTGGAGCGACATCTCTCTGCCTCAGCTACAGAGGGAGAGATTCCATGGGGACAAACAGGCAGCATTTTAGCGATCCTGCTGCTGGTTATTTCCACAAAATACCAGCAGAAGGAACGCCAGCGACAGAGTTCTCCCTCTGACATCGACCATACACTTATAGCTCCCTTGTGTAAAAGTGTCACACCTTCTTTATGGACTATTCACACTTTACCATTTTTTTCCCAGCAGTTTCACATTAAATAAAGTGTGTCAGAGTTGCTGCCAGTTGTCAGGCATGGAGTTTTCATTGCTACAGAATTATCAAGAACTAGCGTTGAAACTCACATTGAATTCAGTGCACTTCCCTGAGCCAGTTTGTTCAAGATATTTTTCATATACTCTGTAGCTCTCTGTTTACATAGCAACATGGATGTAGTTCAATCCTTTTGTGAGCCCTTTATGGCCTGTATATAACAGAGACCACCTAGCAGGAAGCATTGAACTGGAGTATTTAGATATATGCATTAATACTGCATGCCTGTCAGCTATACAGATGGATCCTTGTTCATATTAATATTGCATAGTCTGTTGATTCACTTAAAAGAAATGAGCAAGTGTTCTTTTAGAGCAAACGCTCTTTCAACTTGGCACCTCCCTGCATGTGATTACTCTTTGAAAGATTTATATTTTTGCTTTAAAGTTCTTATCATGGCATGCCTTTATAATGTACTGTATGTTGCAGCAAAGCAGAGCCTTCTTAGGCCAAAAGGTATTTACTTGCTTTATCCAGTACACATACATGAGGCTGTGTGGAGACACAGGTGTCACAGAGGCACACTGGAGTCACTGAATGACACAGGATGCTCAGAGGTCAATAGGTGATACAGGAAGTTCTCAGGTCTCTGGGTGACACAGGAAGCTTTTGAGTCACTGGCAAAACAGGATGCTCAGGGGTCCCTAGGTGACACAGGATACTTGGGGGTCACAGTATGCTCTGGAGTAACACGGGATGTTTGGGGGTTACTGGGTGAAGTAGGATGCTATGGAGTCACTGGGTTACACAGGCTTATCTAAGTCACTGGGAGACATAGGATGCTCTGGAGTCACTGGGTAACACAGGATGTTTAGAGCCACTGGGTAGCACAAGATGCTCAGGGTTCAGTGGGTGACACATGATACTTGGGAGTCACTTAGAGACACAGGATGCTCGGGAGTTACTAAGCTACATAGGATTTTTGAGGGTCACTGTTTGACTAAGGATGCTTTGGAGTCGCTGGGTGATGTAGGATGCTCTGGAGTCTCTGGGTTACACAGGGTGCTTTGGAGTCACTGGGTGACATAGGATGCTCTGGAGTTACTAGGTAACACAAGATGCGCTGGTGCTGCTGAATAACACAGGATGATCTGGGGTCACCAGATGACACAGGCTGGTGGCTGACACAGAGGACAGGAGGCATGAGAAGACTAGTAAAGTACAGCAGCAGGGGGCTTCACTTTGGCATAGCCACACTTGTGCTTGAACCAGTGGTGTAACCAGAGTTATGGGAGCCCGGGGCAGAACATTTTTTTAGCTTCGTTTAGCGGGGGCCGTGACGGCGCCCCCCCTCAGTCCTGCACCCGGGGCAAGTGCCCCGCCCCCCGGTTGTTACGCCACTGGCTTGAACGCCAAGCTGTGCATCGCTTTGCAACTTAAGGCCTTGAGCTGTCTTCTAATTGGCCGTGTCGGTGATGAATAAAACTGTTTCCTGACTGGTTGTGTGTAATAGACTGTCTGCTCCTTGGGCAAGAATTAGAAGTCATCAAATGTATTCAAAGTTAATAGGAATGATGATCACCAGCCCTCACTGTCACTATGTACGCCCTGATGAAGGGACCCTGCGTGGCCCTGAAACGTTGGCTTTGTAATACATGTGACACAGTTTTACAATAAATGAAGACGAGGATTTAAGCTCATCTTTTGAGCGCTGGTGATCTACATTGTTATTAACTTTGGATGCGCACGGCACCATCTGCGGACATCACTGCAAGTATCACTGCTAATAAAAGCATACTGGGTCCTGATTGCTGCCAGGAGTGCAGGGGGTACTCCTGGCTACCAAATCTTATCTGCAAAGGCAGCTTTGCAGGTTCACTAGATTTTTGACAATTCAAAAGGCATGTGTTACTTGCAGCAGAGATAGAACTCTGCATTTATTGCAGCTATGTATTGAATGTGTTCATGTTTATTATTTTACCCCGACATACATTTAATGAATTGCATATTCAACAAGCCAGTAAACAGAAGGCTGAGCAATGTATTCTGCTCTGCTTTTTTAATGATTCATGAATATTGAAATTAAATACATCAAATATTGTGTTTATTTATCCAGTACAAGGAGAATGCAAGCCTGGCTTAATACAGCTTTCTGCAGCTCTTACAAAACAGAGGCCACTATAGGGGTATACAGAAGATGCAATTAGCAGAAATCCATGATAAAATTGTGTATGAATGTGACTGACCTTGATAAAGAGTTCCTGCCTAATGAAGCACTGTTGGCTCAGATGGTGCTCGCTAAAATACAGTATAATAATGAGCATCCTATTGTAGCACAAAGAGCATAAACTTTATCTCTCACAGTTGTAGCGTACACTTTTATGTAAATACATAGCATCATAATTCAGAATGGACTGATTCATTTTCTTTGCATACTCATAACTTTACAGATGGCCAATTCAGAGTGCTGTAAAAGCTGAATGACAATTTTAATACTGACATGATAGTGTATGGAGGATTCTTCTTCATTTCTGTTTCTTGTGTTGACTGTAATGCCCTTTTTATATCAAGTGCTGACTTTAGGGCCTTTTGTTCACTTCAAATGGGTTTTGCATCCCCATTCAAGTCTATTGGACTGTGAAACCTGCTTCAAGCAGGTCAAATGCTGGTCAGAAGACGGTCAGCTGCTGAACTTTAGGTCAAATGCACCTGTCAATGAATTCTGAATGATCTCAGAGGCGTCCCAGACTGATGCCATTGACAAAATGCCACAACCCTGCCATGCCATTGCCAAATCCATTCTGGTGTTCTCTATTACATTGATCCACTGGGTTCAGTAATGTTTGAGTCACTGACCTGCAACAAGTAAGGATATCAGGAAAGTCAATGTAAAGTCTGATGTCCTTATTCACATACTTGTAGGTAAATGGTTGAGGACACAAAGGGGTTGATTCACTAAAGGCAAATAGGCCGTTCACTTTGCAAGGGAATTTACTCTTAGCTTAGTACATATGGCGAGAATGCCTAATCACGTACAATAGCCTAGCACATGTGGTGAGAATACCCAATCATGTACAAGGAAAACAAAAACAAACAGCATATCTGTTTATACACGATTAGATGATGGAAGTCAGCAGTGTCACCTCATTCACTGAGCTAAAGGAAAATTTGCTTGCAAAGTGAAAATCAGCTTATTTGTTTTTAATAAATCAGCCCCATAGTATGGAAGCTAGAGGGTAGAGAGAAAGAGATGTAGCAATGGCAGCCTGTTCCTCTCAGAAAAGGTATCCTTTAAGGGTCATACCAATGTGGAGCTGTAAAAGGAGTTGTAAAGTCCCTGCATACACTATCCTATTAGAACATCAGCATTGTAATAGGAATACATACTAGAGTTGTTGTTGATAATGCAATCATAGCTTACTTGAAAAAAATCCCTTTTATGTAGTGAGTGCTGCCTTCCGTCTGCCCATCACTTCCAACTACTTCCTGGATTCCCAGTGTGCTTTGCGTCTCTTTTCCTGCTGCTTGATGTGATGCAATCTTCATTTCTCAAGACTACCTGGCCCATCGTGCATTGCTTCCAGCAAGCAATGATAACGTTACATTGTCCAGATGTTGAGTTGTAGTTCAGAAGGCAGGCTCTGTGAGTTGTGATAGGAGGAAGTGCATATTCACAGGGCTGAATGAAATTGTGTCAATGCATTGAGGAAGTACATCCAATGGGCATCTTCAATAAGAAAATTTACAAACCTCTAGATCCATGTGGTTAATATGAGTGAGATAGAACTTAAGAAAATTCAACATGGAAATGCAGATTTGTGTTTAGTTTATGACCCTAGATACCCTTTAAAACATTTAAGCATAGTTTTAGTAGCTTAATCCCTGGTCCTGTCACATACAAATGAATGGGTAAATATACTGCTCATTGCATAGGGCCAAGAAGCTTACCTCTGAAATACATATGTCTGCATTGAATGCTGCTGTATGTAACTTTTATAGTAGAAAAATCCACTTGCAGTTTTATCTGCCTGCATACTGATGGATTACACTGTAAAGAGATTTAATAATCACTGTTACATTGTGACTGCTGTGCTCCAGTAAAGTCAGACACAGCTCCTAAAGGCCCTATTTCAGTGTCCCAGGCTTCAGTAAGCGAATTATCTTTATTAAACCTTGAAAAATTATAGGCAGTTCTTTGACAAAGTGCCCCGAATTAGAGCTATAGATGTATTATTTTGCAAATGTTTTAATTTGAATGTGTACAGCTGCAGTCCCAGTGAAAACGTCTGCCATAGCAGCTATGTATCCTGACTATCTGATGTGTGCGGTGCGTTGGTTTTATCAAATTTTTCATGCTATCTCTACACTCTCTAAGCTTTGTATTTTATCTGCAGCTCCAGAAATATTTCAGTCTTTTGTTAATGGAGGAACTGGCTACTCATTTGAGGTGGACTGGTGGTCATTAGGGATAATGGCCTTTGAGTTACTCCGAGGATGGGTAAGACTTTTACTTTACAGATCATTAAAATTACATGTGTGGTACCCTTAGACACCAGTTAGATGTTATCATTGTTACTAGGAAATGGTCTGGTAATTGGATGACATTAGTACATGCATGGCCCGAACATTAGATCATCTTTGTTTAGCCTTGATATTTTCAACAGCCAATATGTCTTCTGCTTAAAATACAATCAGTTTCTCTTTTCAACTTGTTCAGTTACAGAAGAACTCCAGCAGTGGTACTAACCCTTACAGTGGGGCGACCCCTGCTCGACAAGAGTTAAGTGCATTGCTAGATTCCTATTGGCTATTTCAATTTGCAATAGCCAATAGCATACTAGCTATTGCACCCGCCCACTGCTGCTGTCAATCAGCAGAGGGGACCTGCAGTTCTCCATCAGGTCCCCACTAGTGATTGACTGCAGTAGAGGGCGGGTGCAATAGCTAGTTTGCTATTGGCTATTGCAAATTGAAATCGCCAATAGGAATCTAGCAATGCATTCCTATGGCAAAATGTTTTTTAAATTTTTTTTGACGGCAGCAGAACCGCTGGCCAATAGAAAACAGTTGGGCGGAGCTAGCTGTCACTGCTAGCTCCGCAAAATTGTTTTCTATTTTTGTTGTTTTTAAACTATTTTTCTGTTCTGTTCGGTCCCACAGCCTATTCACTCACTGCTGTTCGGCATCTATAAGAATAGACCGAACAGCAGCGAGTAGCCCTTCCCGGAGATTCGGCTTAGCCGATCCAGATGTTGGATTGGCTGAGTCGAACTCCTTCTGCACTTCGGGTCGGCCGAACATGCTGAGCATGTTCAGCCGACACAAAGCCATCCGATGTACGGCTGATTTCAGCCGATATATGGCTGAAATCAGCCGTACCGACCTGAAAGGGAACAGCCGAACGGCGTTCGGCTCACTTCGCTTCAGGTCGGTCGTTCACTCGGCTGCCTACGGCAGCTTAGTGAATACACCCCTTAATCTTTACACCAGTATTCACCAATCTTAGAATTGTTATTACAAGACCAATTTTATCTACGAGCTACCTTTGGTCCGTCACTTCCCATAACACAAGGTTGAGGTAAAGATCGGTCTCTTTCCTTCTTAAACAAATCACTATTATACTATTACCCTTATCTCTTCCTATTCACCAAAATTGCAACACCTTTGAGAGATTGACTACTTTGGAGGCTCTCCACGAGTTGAGCAGCCATAGGCAACCCTCAATGTGAACTCTGAATCCCCATTAGCACAAATCCCAAATGATTTGTCCACTTGAAAGTTCCAGCACTGTCTCACATACCCTCTTCCGTGGTACAGGTATCTTCAGACTAATGAAAGTCAGGGACTTATTATTGAGTCTACCGCAATATAAAATATATCAATACATTAATTCTATTCTCTTTTTTTTTTACAGCGACCATATGACATCCATTCAAACAGTTCAGTGGAATCTCTGGTCCAGTTGTTTAGCACAATCACTGTCCAGTACTCGTCAGTCTGGTCGAAGGACATGATTGCACTGTTACGGAAGGTACAGATTTTTAAAAAATGTTTTACTATATTACAAACAGTGGAAGAAATGTGACCTTTTCTGCCTTGAGAAAGGGACCCTGCGTGGCCCCGAAACGTTGGCTTTTTTCGATTGTCGTGACACCATGGTCCAATAAAAAGGACTTATTCATCTTTAAACCTTTTGAGTGCTGGTGACCTATTTCTTCCACTGTTCGTTTTGCACGGTGCCATCCGTGGAGTTACTGCAAGCACCATCCCTGTGTACTGGCCGGGATTGCTGAAAGGTGTGCGGAGAGCACCCCCACCCTACTGTTACTATATTACAAAACTCTTTTATGTAAAACAGACAGAAATAAACGACCGCGAGTTTTATTGAAGTTATTATTGTAAATCCATACATTTTTACTATTTTTATTCGATATGGGATTTATATAGTGGCAACAAATTACAAATTGAAGATTTGTACTTACTGAGGAAAAGGTTTGATCCTCTGTAACTTTTTTATTGCTGTTTTTTATTCCATTGGCTAAGGTTCTCTTCGCTTTCTGGGTCAGTGACATTGCTCCTACCTCCTACTACTAACAAGACTTTACCAAATTCACTTTGCAAAGAATACCCAATCATGTGCAAGGAACATTTTTTAACAATTATTTTTTCTTGTACATGATTGTATGATGGAAGTCACCACATTCACTAGGCTAATAGAAATTCCCTTGCTATATGAACAGCCTGTTTGCCTTTAGTAAGTCAAACTCACTATGTCCAGAGCGTTTGGAACGTACTGGAACACAAGCCGAACGGCTCCCTGTGTTCAGAGACGGGAGGGGACGTGGCGGTGCATTGAAGTCAATGGCACTGCAGCCACACCCCCTGCCCACAGTGCCTGCACCCGAATGCATGAAACATTAGTGCCTGCGTTCTGGTCCAGTGCGATCTGCAAAAATGCTATAAGCACTATGTAAAGTAAAAATTCCCTTGCAAAGTGAACAGCCTATTTGCCTTTAGTAAATCAACCCCAAAGATCTCACGCTAGTACGCCAGTGGTCCAGGCTGCTGCTGTTATCATCCACGAGCCTTCTGACCCGGCCTGGACAAAAATCTGTTTCTATGTCCTTCATTTTCCATTCATCCTCCATCAAGATATTTGGCAGGTGCATAGGAAGAAGCCTGAGTAAGAAAGAGATGTGCAAGCGAGAGGTTCGTGACTTCTCCTGCTCCAATGGTGAAGCCCTGAGGCAATGAAATCTTGTTTATTGAGAATTGCAGCTCCTGTTTTTGGACAGCAGATAGCGAAATGCATCTGCTGCTGCAGTTGTTTGTTTTTTAATAAAGACTTCAAATATTCAAAAGATTGTTGCCATTGTTCAATTTTTGTTCATTTTAGGATACACAGAATATATTCCTCTAGAAATAATGATACATTTAATGTAGACATTGGGCAGGAATGTTGCAGCTACTGTACATCAGACAATAGAATATAAAGAGAATATATACAGGGACTGGACTACATCTCTGATTGCAGAATGCAGAAAATCATCATAATTATTACTTGATAATATTGGAGATCTTTATTTACAGTGGCACTGAACAAAGCAAGGGAAAATAAGAAACATGTACAAATATTGGTCAAACATTACAAAATAATGCTTTTTCAAAAAAAGATGAAAATGGAGTCTGACTGTATGTGCTTAGAACCAAGAAAATGGGCCAAGGGGGCAAGAAAGCTGTTTTTTCCCGTACCATAAAAATACTTTGCAGATCTTTCATTGATTCAAGCAGCTTTTGTTTGGGTTCAAGGGCCAATCCTCCTAAAACAGATATTTCATCTTATTATTATCAATGGGCTAAATAACCACATGGCTGGTTCATTTTCACAGGTTCCTTTAAGTGCTTTAAGTTAGTCATATGCTTTAAGTTGATTGTAAAAGCTTCTTCAACGACTTTGACTGAAAACACAAATCCATAGTATTAAACAGTCCACAGCAATCTGTCAACCGCAGTTTCAATCTTTTCTGGGTTTCAATTTCAGAGTTCAAAATTGCAGTGAAGATTGGTTGAAAATTGCTTTCATAACATTTGTAACACATATTTCCTACACTACTCGAAATGCCCTCTTAAAATAGCCAACTTTCATTCTATCTTAGGGGTCTATTCACGAAGCTGCCGAGGGCAGCCGAGTGAATGACCTATCTGAAGTGAAGTGAGCCGAACACTGTTCGGCTATTCACTTCAGGCTGGTACGGCTAATTTCAGCCATACATCGGCTGAAATCAGCCGTACATCGGCTTGCTTCATGTGGCTTCGGGTCAGCTGAACATGCTCAGCATGTTCAGCTGACCCGAAGTGCAGAAGAAGCGTGGACAGAAGGAGGGCGTGGACAGAAAACAGGAGAATTTGTGTGGTTTGCACTTTCTTGTTTATACTTTAGATTGTTTAGGTCTGTCCTTATATTTCATAGTTTTGGAAGATTTAAAGGGGATTGTACAGAGATTGTACAATCTGATTACATGGTATATGGTCAGTTTAAGAGAGGGGTTCCTCTCACCTTGTAGAGATTTCCTATCACCACACATACACTTTGAAGGAGTTCTACAGTCCCATTATATACTATCCTGTCATAACATCAGCATTGTACTAGGAATACATACTGTTTTTGATCCCTTTTATGTAGTGAGTGCTGCCTTACATTTGCCCATCGCTTTCACCAACTTTCTGGATTCCCAGTGTGCTTTGCATCTCCTTCTCTGCAGCTTGATGTGATGCAAACTCAAATTCTCAAGACTATATAGCCCATCATGCATTGCTTCCAGCAAGCACTGATGGTGTTACACTGTGGGCATTTCCTGTGCTCACTGTGAGAGAGGGGGGGCAGGAGTTGAGTCAAGCGGACATTGTGACAGTTGTGACACATATTCATAGGGCTGAGTGAAATGGAAGTGCATCCCATGAGCATCTTCAATAATTAAGTTTACAAACTTCGAGATCAATATGGCTATTAGGAGTGGAATATAACTTATGGAAATTCAATATAGAAATACATATTTATTTTTAGTTTTTAACCATAGACACCCTTTTTAGGTATAATGTTCAAATGCAGACTTGTTTCCTGTTAAATAGTCACCTATTTTTGGTAAAACATTTGGAATTAATCTCCTTTTTAGGACAGGTTACTATTTAGTTAACACAATTTGTTCCTGATGTTATTATTACTTGTACTATAAAGCTTTATACTTTTACTTCTTTTTTTTTTACCATGGCAATCATATCCATGAATGGAATTTTCTGCCACATTCAAAATATTTTGTATGAATATGGACATTCAATTTGAGCACAGTCTATGGCAATTTCAAGGCACGCTTCGTTTAATAAAGTGTGCACTTGATGCCTAGCTGGAAAACTTAGACTCCTGTGAAATTGGCCTTTCTAAAAGCTGAAAATAACTAGTTTGGCAATCCGTGATTGAAGCATGAAATATAGTGTTTTTGTATCCCACTGTGACACACGGCTCTGAAAGAATAGTCTGGCTTTAAAGAAAAACAAAGTGGATTTTGGATTTTTTTTTTTATTGCACAAAGCCGAGAAATGACTTGATTGGTTTAAAATTATACATGCAGTAATGGATTGCGGACAGGTGCTACCTAGAATGGATTTAGAGTTTGGGAAGATCTCATACGTATTGTACATAAATAGCATGGAGTATTGAAAAACGTGTCCTTTCTTTTGTGAAATGGACTCAAATTGAACATTATTTGGGAAATGTGGTAATTCACCAGTGACATCTACTGGTGAAAACTAAGTAGTGTAAAAGAGACTGCTTTGTCAGTTACAAATGACAACTACATCACCATTTAGGGAGCCTTTTATAAAAGAAATATGGGGCATCTTTTGCTGAGTTTCCTGTCTGGTTGACTGTCTGTCATATTTATTTCTGATTGAATTGTTTCTGAGTTGCTCCCTCTCCCACTTTGTTGTATCTCTCGCCGTCCATTTTGCCCTTCCTCTTCTATCTCTTCTTTCTCCTGTTTCTCCTTTACATTTCTTTCCCCTATTCTCTTGTCAATGAGCAGTACAGCCATTCAAGTTGAACTATCCCATAGTAGGTGGGAAACCAGTGACTTTGCTTTTTACCATTAGACTAGGTTTAGATATCGGTGATCCCGGGACACGCATGCTGCGACTGCGCGACCGTGCACGATTGCACACAGCAATTGCCACGCGGCCCCATTGATTTCAATGGGGTTATATCCACACAACAATTGCTGAAATAAAAGGTACTCTTTTTGCAACACGCACCGTACGCCTTTTTGAATCGCGATCATGCGCGATTGCATGGGTGGTAATGCGGCGGGAAACCACACAATCTGCCTGGTGCAACATGGGTGCCATTAGAAAAAAATGGCACTGCCAGTGTCATTGGCGGTGGTATGCAATTCCGTGACCGCACGGTCATCCATTAAACTTAATAAACTTAATGTGGGATTGTAGTCCATCACGAGAGCGAACTTGGATTTTTGTCACAGGGTACAGACTGAAAGCTATGGCTCCTTCGCTGAAACGAGTCAACCAATATTATACTTGTCAGTTTTTCTGGCTGCAGCTTTTTAATTTTTTTTTTAGTCTTTATTTATATCAAAGACATACACTGTGTTTGTAATACAATCAACTAGGAAAGGATAAATCGTTCTACAAAACTGGATAAGTACATGCTTTAAAGGTTCTTCGAATACTTCTCCCGACATATTAGGCCCATCCATTGCTATATACAGTATGTGAGCAATCTGGAAGGGAGCTTTTTAATCTTAATATCTGAACCAAGCTGAGTATTTAACCCAGTAGATGAAATTATAGACTGTGGTTAGTCCATGCATCCCTGTAATGTATGCTGTAAGTTCACATCCTGTTTATGCCGTCTTTTACAGAAACATACTGGACTCCACCGAGGCCCTGTAATAAAACCGTAGTATTTTCTGTCGGCACACTCAGATGTTTTATAATAATTTACAGCTTTGTAGTTTATAA